GAGCCGTCATGTAACGTATCACCCACTGGAGGACACTTTGGGGAGTGAGCAGGACAGGTGTAGTACGGATGCCGAGAGAACAGGACTGCCTTCCCGAGCAAGCCAGGGCACATGGTCGTCCTGCCGGGGAACCCGGTACACAGGAGGAAAGAACAGCGATCTCAGGGGAGAGCAGTTGTACTGCCAAACAAGGGGCTGGTCACCCCCCTGCCCTTTGATCTGGGGCAGGCACGAGAAATGTGAGAGAACCAGAAGCAGGAAAAGTTTCCTTCTGTATGGACCACTTCTGGCAACATCTTCGTTTCTGCCTCCTAAGGACATGACTACTCTACCGAAATACAGACTACAAAAACATACGCCCGTTCCTTCTGCTGAGTCTGGAACGAAAGAACAGAAGAGGGGCGTTCGGAATCTCCTCTGGCTCACGCACCTGCAGCAGATGGGGTTCCACCTGAACCATTCTGAGAAATGGAAACAAACACACGTCCACCGTGAAAAGACGAACTCTTAGAAATGGCAGAAAATACTACAATATCCCTCACTCATCTCATTTAACATTAATTACTTCCTTAGACGCCCCATGTCCCAACACAGCCACACTGGGGTTAAAGATTCAACATACGCAAGGGAAGGAGGGGATTGGGGTGGCATACACCCATGGGGCTGATAGCGGCCACAGATCCTCGGTGTTCCGTGGCCTGCCTGACAGTGTGGCTCTAATCTGGGCCTCTGTCTCGGCACAAGCTTCTCCCTGGGGGTGTGTCTGTTCACAGGGTGCCAAAGGGCAGCAGAGAAGATGCCCCTGTGACTTAAGGATTATCTTGAGCTGAAGGCAACTGAGAAGCAGATACAAGAGAAGCTCTCTGAGCTCCCCCCTCATTTGCCTAAAGGCAGGACACAAATTTGCACGTGGCCCCTTCTCTCCTCTCTACCAGGAGAGACACAAGGCAATCACCAGCACCAACTCCAGGCATTTATCAGCCCAGATGCGCACAAGAGGAATCCATACAGCAAACATTGCTACATAGCCCTGTCTGCCATTCGTTCCTTTATATATTTCCCTGTGCACAGCTGGCCGTTCCTAAAGCTCAAAGCCCTTTTCGTCTTGTCACGTCTCTAAAAAGTTATGGTTCCTGGGGGTGCCTGGCGGGCTCAGTCGGTTGAGCATCCGACTCTTGATTTCAGCTCAGGTC